ACGGAGACTTGCCACGGTCTCCAACCCTCCTCCTTTCTCATCCGGGCTTGGGACCGGCCATGGCGGAGCTGCCTATTTCAACGAGTCGGTTTTGCGTTGCAGAAATCAGCTGCCTCAGACTTACGTATCGTTGCACCTCTTCAAGCCTGCATCCACTGATTTTAAGAGGTCACAGGGTAAAGTATTTGTTACACATGACTTGTCTTCTTCAGATTCATTTACGTTGATGCTGATGTCGTTCAACTCTTGGATTCTTTCTTGCAGTTTTTCTGAGGACTTGAATCACAATATCGTCCTAAAACGTCAGGTAGCTTAAGAAATGCTCATTTTTCTTAAGTACCCTATTTACTCCATGAAATGTCTTGAAAATCTCTTCCAGGGCTGTTGCGAATGCATTCTCTGATGTTTCATCACCATCTCAGATGCCCATTTAGATTATGAATTTCTACTTTCTTGCCGGATCAACGAAACCTAGCCGTGTGCGACATCGTACTGTGTACAAATAAAATTTTCTTTTCGATATTTCCCGAAGCAACAAGTTTCTCACTGTAAATTTTAAAGCATACAATAGTCAGTTAAAAAAATGTATCAATGACAACCTAGAATTTAAGTAATAGGGAACACTGCTTGAGTTGAAAAGTATGCATAAGTTGAGTCAAAAAATATACACGCCATCAGTTGCTGTGTAACGTAACAGCAGTCCAATATGTAATGTTTAAAAGCGAAAACAAGGTATTTCAGGTATTTTATCCATGATTTCAGAACCTTAAAACCATTTCGTGTAGTACTTTAAAAGTCGAGTTGTTGCGAAAATTTATCGAGCAATTTCGAAATGTCAGCTACGACACCTGCTGAGCAGAGCTAACTTATATTACAAATACAAATCATTCACAGCAGTAAAAGAATTGTAATTTGACTGTGATACAAGAAACGATAATTACGGGGCCATCTCTGTCATGTATCTCACTTAGTCTGCACAAACTATTTGCAAAGCAAATGCAGAGAAATTGTAAATCAAAAGGTTGAGAAAGAACCGCCTTGTTTCCATCGAAAACGTTCAACGAAAATTTCTCTTCCGCT